CAAGGAGAAGCAAGAAGCAGAGCGGGAGGATGGTGGCAGGATGTTCTTTCTGTGAGCCTCTGCAGACTGATCAGAGCAGAACCAAGAAGGGACTGAAGCTTTCCCCTCTGATGGGTACTGATTAGGCCCTTCGTGACCTCTGACCAACACCACTACTGTCTGCACAGCTCTCACTGTGAGCTTCTCGGGTGGAGGACGTCAGGTTACTTCCTTTGAGCCTGAAACTTTTCCCGGAGAGTTTCCTGGTTTTGCCTGCTTTTAGTTGCCTTTTAAACATTTTTCTGACACTTTTCCTTTTGTATGTTTGCTCCTGCAGATCTGTGAGTGGCCCGATCAGTAAGGAGGATGATTATCTGCTCCTGAGTGTGAAGCAGCTAAATTTCAGTTATTTCTGAATAATTTGTTCACTTTGAAACTTTTCTCATTTCCTGCCGTCCTCCCCCATCCTCCCCCTCTCTGATCTCCTTGTGGACTCAGAGCTAATTGAGCCGCCGGCTCTCCTTATTATTCATGTACAATTACAGATGTGATAATGTGCTTAAATCCTTCTAAATGACCGTTCATGCCTCGCGCTCGCTTTGAAGTCTCGTCAAAGATGGAAAATCTGCAGAAAAAAGGGGAAAAGCAAAAGCCAATCAGAGCGCCAATCTACATTAACCAATGAGGCGAAGAGGGGGGACACGCCTCCCCCCGCCTCCCCCCTTTTTCTTCATGTAATATAAACTCAAGTCCATTAATTTTTTAAGCTGTTTTTAATACATTTTGTGCAGAAAGTTTGGAGCGCTGAGTGTCGGCTGCTCCAGCTGACTGCATGAATATTAATGACGGTGTTACGATGATTAAAGAGGCTTCAGCTCAAATCCAACACAATCCGCCTGTGATCCGGCCCGCCGACACCACACCGCCGCCACACCGCACATGAATTTAGATACGGACATTAAGCCGAGGAGACACACGGCGAGCTGGGAACGCTCACGCACACGCGTGCAGAGTAAACACGAAGCCAAACACACTCCGAGATCAATCGATCAGCAGGAAACCTGCTGCTCTTCAACAAACGAGCGATCAATAAAAGTGAGACAAAATCGCTCCTGTCGATCAGAGAGGAAATCGACTGATCAATAACCAGAGAAAATACCTCCTGGTCATGTGACCTGATCATGTTTTTCATGAAGATTATTCTTAAAACAGGTACTGCCCTCCACAGTGAACTGAAGGTGTTTTTGTTCTGAGTCACATCCACACCGTGCAGGTAGCACACCTGCGCCCTGTTTCCTGTTACAGCTGATAACAGTCACTCATTCTCAGTTCAGGAAGAGACGCAGGAAATGATTTATTTGGTGAATCTGGTCCAGGCGTCTGTTTCCTCTGACCGCGGCAGGCGTAACATCTGCTTCTCCTACAAATTAAACAGAATCCATGTTTCTCACTATTTCAATTATTCTTTTAATTCAAGCAGTTTCCTGCCTGAGCTTCATAGTTTACTTCCTGTTTTCCTGTCTTTGATTTTTAGTCTCCGGCTTCTAAGTGCTGATCAGTAAATGCTCATTATTTGGCTGTTATATTGTTTCCTGTCCTTCATCTTAGAAGCTGCAACACTACGAGTGCAGCAAGAAGCTGGTAATTGATTATTGATTATAGCACACAGGGTTAAAAAGGCCACTTCTACTCAAAGTGATCAGGACAGAAGAAATGATGTCATTTAAATGACACGATGAACCACTTTTATGTGACTCTGTGAAAGTATCTGAGAAACTTCACATTTATCATCATGAAGATGATTCCAGGTCACGCTGTACGATCTGCTGACCCCGGCTGTCCACATTCAAGCCTAACGGACGCCGTTCTGACAAGAACGAGGACTTCCTGAAACCTGTGGCGGCAAAAGGTCACGGCAGAAACGCCACAAACTCACCATTTACAGGTCACATTCAGTCAGACTGTCAAAATAAAAGCAGCTGAACTCTAATTAAGTCTGAAGTAATCAGATTATTGATCAGCGATCAGCAGGAGACAAAATCATTCTCAGGATTTGGCTTTCTAAGTCCAGAGACACACACACACACACAC